TAGATCATTTTATAAAACAATTTTTATTTTTTTTAAAAGTGAATATTCTGAAACTACATAAACAATAATAGTCAAATGATAGATGGGTCATGTTTAGAATCAAAAATTTTAGAACTAAAATAAACAAAATTGAATGATTTATGGTGTAGTGTGTTATTGTATGTACTAGTTATAATATTTATATTTATGGGTCACCGGTTTGCTAATATTTTTTTACGATTTAATATTGATTAAATTAATAAAGTGTAAAACACTCACTTGGCACATCATTGGAGCAGACATAGTGTGAATTCAACTGTTGTTTCTTTACTTCCTAAGGTTCAAAATGCAGATACTTTGAAAAATTTTAGGCCAATATCTTGTGCGAATCTTTTGTATAAAATAGTAGCCAAAATTCTATCCAAGAGAATAAAGGAAGTATTGCCTCGGGTCATTAATGGTACTCAATCTGCCTTTATTAAAGGAATGAGCATAATGGATAACATACTTCTAGCTCAAGAGTTGGTTAGTGGGTATCATAGGAAAGACTTATCCTCTTGTTGGGCTATCAAGATAGATATCATGAAAGCGTTTGACTCAGTAAATTGGTCCTATCTGTTTCTTATGATGAATTCAATGGGGTTTCCTGAGCAATTTATGAAGTGGATAAAGAGTTGTATCAAAACGGCGTTATAGTATCAATGTGAATGAGAGTTAGTGTGGTTTCTTTAGGGCTAGAAAGGGGGTAAGGCAGGGTGATCCATTGTCACCCTACCATTTCACCGTAGCCATGGAGGGTCTCTCTACACTGTTATTGAAAGCAGGTCAATCTGGTGTAATTCCATTCCATCCACAATGCATACGAGTATCTCTGAACCATATGTGTTTTGAGGATGACATCTTGGTATTTACTGTTGGGTCTGCTCAAGCTATCTTGCAAGTCAAAGCAGTTTTGCACAGATTTTATCAGCTTTCTGGGCTTAGGAGTAACCCATCTAAGTGTGAGATTTACTTTGGAGGAGAATCAATTCACTATAAGAATAATGCTCTGAAACACCCTAACCCGGCCGGGTACTACTTTTACTAAAATTCCCTTGATAAATAAAATACTCAAATCTTAAATTGCAACTGGGAAAAATTTCAATAAATAAAATACTGAAAACACACACTTGTAGTTCAAAGCAAAGCCCTAACATGTGGGCTAATTAAACACAACCTTTAAAAACTCAACTTGATCTCCAGTCTATACTCATAATCATAAAACATAATAACTAACTAGTCTCAGGTTTTGTTGCTTGCGTGAAAAACTCTGACTAGACCTCCTCAGTGATACTCGTACCGTCCTCCTCTAGCTAGCTTCACTCGAACTGTTTCTCTCGATCCCGCTGCTCTCTAATTGCTCCTCTAGCTTCTTCCTCTTCAAACTGGTGAGTGAGTTGGGGTCATTCTACGCCCTTACGTTTAACCTCTTATTAAAACTTGAGCACTTTACTTAACTGTGTGGAAGTTCTTTTGTACTTCCACTATCGAAAAGCTTAACTCTTAAAAATGTATGGGAGTTACTGTTACTCCATTCTTAAATCTCAAAGCTTGACTTAAATACTTGACTGACACTGGGATCCCTCACTAGCTAGTCTGGTTGCCAACTCATACGTATGAGAAGCCATCAAGGCTTTCCTTAAACTTAAACTTAGTTAGGGAAGTCGTAACGATTCATCTCCCTTAACATCTTAAACTTATCGTGGTGGCTCTTCACCACGATTCTCAAGAGCATAACTGTTGCTCATCTTAAAAGTCTCAAGAGCATAACTGCTGCTCTGTCTCAAAGATCTCAAGAGCATAACTGCTACTCTATCTGAAAATCTCAAATGGCAACGGACTGGCGCTAGTGACTAAAAACACTTAAAACGACTTCACCTTCTTGAAGGTGGGTTACTTCTTAAAAATACCTTGTTTCTTAAACTTTAACAATAACTTATACTCATAAAATTTTCAAGGTAAATAATCACCATTCACTTCAAGTCATAACTCAAACAAGCACATATCATCAACTATAATCATGCAAACTCAAACATGAAGCAAATACTGCACATGCATCACGTAAATCAATACTCGAAAAAAATACTCAAGGCAGATACTTAAAAACCGTAAGGCGTAGAATTTACCCCCTTTACACTCACCTTAATTCTCAAATGACTGATTTTGTCGAATATCCTGAATGACTTTGACCCATCCGCCAACACTTCTGGATAGTCTGATGCGGAACATCCCGTAGCAGTTGATTGACTTCGTTCCACATCAACCCAATTCGTCTCATTCATAAAAGTCAACCACAACAAAATGTCCCAAGCCACGTTAAAGCACCTCTCATAACCCCAATATTGCTTATCCTAAACGTGATACTAATTTGATTCAACAAAGCAGACTGGTGTTACCTCTACTCCGTGCAATCATTGTCAATCCACATGCGCTGATATATAAACAACCTTGTCCCCGTCCTTGGAATCGTCCTACCGCCCACCGCCGCTAAGATGTGTTGCTCCCATCACAACGACAAGTGAGGAACTTGTGAGAAGATCTTGCTTTGTGGAGGCGAAAGGGATCATGGGGCTGGGTTCTTTTTGCGAACTCGTAGGAGGATGGCGGCGGTGATTTTCTCCCTGTTGGGTCGGTGGAGAATTGATGAGGGGTAGGGAATTGATAAAGACATGTTAAAGGGACGGCGAGGGTTTTCTTTGAAATAATTGAGGGTCGAGCGCCCTCTCGGTTTATATGTATATTTTTTTAATAATAATAATAATATACTTATTATTATTATTATTATTATTCATAAACCGCGGTTGCAACCCTTCGTACGTAACCATCGATCCAATCATTCGGTCGAACCTAACCCAAAATTCGGGGTGTTACATTTCCTCCACCCTTATAAAAATTTCGTCCCCAAAATTTGCTTGAAACTCATTGCTCATTCTACACCATCTTTGTACTCCCTTGCCTCAAGAATTTACTCTAGCTAAATGTATTTCGATGATGTCCGTTGTTTGTCCGATGTCCGTTGCTTGTCCCGTATGATTTACCTCACTTCTTATATTTCCTCTTGACCATAGAAGGGATTCTCACCAAGCTCGTTAGCATCGGCCAGCTTTGGGTGGCTACTTATCCTTTTCAATTCCCCACTTGGGCATAAGGCGTGATGGGACAACACATCGAGTCGATTTATTGGTCTAGCCCATTCAGTACCTGTTTTTGAACCTTAGATCGAATTCGAGGTGTCACATGCTCTGCAGCTTTCTGGTTTCCAGGAAGGCAAGCTTCATGTTAGGTACTTAGGTTTACCGTTAATAACTGGGAAGTTGTCCTCAAAGGAGATTGATACTCTAGTGGACAAAACCACAAAGAGAATGAGATCATGGAGAGCTAAGCAAATGACTTATGCTGGCCGGTTGCAACTGCTTAATTCGGTATTGTTCAATATTGGATGCAGTTATTTGTGCTGCCTAAGCAGGTTCTTAAGCGAGTACAGAAGGTTTGCTCTCAATTCCTTTGGCATGGTAATGACGAGGGAAAAGCTAAATTTGCATGGGATTTGATTGCTCTCCCTAAAAAAGAAGGTGGCTTGGGGGTGAAGGATTTGCTGGCATGGAATCAAGCATGTACAGTTCGAATGCTTTGGTTATTCTTGTTGAATTTTGGGGCAATCTGGGTAGCCTGGATGTATGCATATAAATGCAAGCAGGGGGATGTATGGTCGATGAAGATTCAATAAAGTAGCTCTTGGACATGGCGACGATTGCTTAAAATGAGACCTCTGGTTCAGACTTGGCTGCACAAGCAGAATAATGAGATTTACTAGGGACCAAAGCTGATGATGAAGTATTCAGTAAAACAAGTATGAGAGACGTTGAGGATTAAAGCATCTGAGGTCCCATGGTATAAGGTGGTATGGTGCAAGCATTGCCCTTTGCGATACAATTTTCTTGCCTGGCTCTTAATTAAAAATGCTATTATTACTCGGGACAAGCTTCTAAAGTGGGGAAAGATTGCATATGCTTCTTGTCCATTATGTGGAGGGGCAGCAGAGACAAGAGAACATTTATTTGTGCAGTGCTCTTTTATATGCCAGGTTGCTTCTTTCTTGAGATGCAATCTGCTCAATTATAGGGACTGGGATGCAATGTTGAGTGGTGTTCTGAATGTAGTAAGCAGGGACTCGAGGACAGGTCATTGGCATGCAATGATTTGGTGCATCCTGTTATCTTTTGTGTGGAAAGAACGTTGTGAGGTTGTTCATGGTTCTGTTTGTAAAAATCTGGCTCAACTAGCTGATCAGCTGCAGGCAGAGCTACGTTTTATTGTTGCTGGTCATACGGAGTTGCAGGCTGAACTAGAGATGCTGGGTTACTTATAGGTTTACCACAGAATTTTTCTCTCCTTTTTCTTGTAATTAGAATAAGAAAAGAAGTAATAGGAAGATAGTAGATGATCGTTGTATTACATAGGATCTGTTGGATCCTATCTCGTTGTATCGGTTTCTTTTTTTGAACAATAAAAACAACTGATTCAACGAAAAGAGAAATGCAAACTCTTTTTTGGTGTGAGTAAACTCTTAATTTAAAATAATTGAGTAAAATTTTCTCATTTTCTAATTGTTGCATTGCATCCAAATCACTTTAGAAAAGTCCACACCTTCGACGAAGGAATTACTTGTTAAATAATTCAACGAAAAAAATATTACTTGTTAAATATATAATTCTACAAAAGAATTAAATTAGCTTTACCTTCCACATCCATATTCGTCCCAACTGCCAAGTTTCCAACCATTCTAGTTCTAGACTTCTGGTCAATGTCCTCTCCCCCACCATTCCGAGGAAACCAAACGCGCTGCAACAAAAACGCGCAAGAACAGTAACCATTGGGTTGAAAGTTTTCCAATCTTTTTCCCTCGCGTCCCCGGGAAACAGATGCACCTGCAATTCATTGGTCTGCATATATAGCAGGTTGTTGGGTCTCTTCTTGCGAAAATGACCAAGCCCAAGAGTCTCTTGCAGAATTTGATGAAGCCCTTCAAGTTGGGTTCTAGAAAAGGTGTGGATTTCGGTTTCTTCTCATACGGTGCTGCTTTTGCTTCCCTTCCTTTGTAAACCTAGTTTTCTCTGTATTGTTGATGGGACGCCTCAGGCGGAGAGAATGAAGAGGATTTGGAGAAGATTGCTGCTCAAGAGCAGAAGCATTTTGCATTTGAGACCTTAGTTTCAGCTACCAAAGATTTCCACCCATCAAATAAGCTTGGTGAAGGTGGGTTTGGACCCGTCTACAAGGTAAGACTACCTTGATTGGGATTTCTTGGGTTTTTCTGAAATCTTGAATTATTTCGACTAGCTTGTATGGTTGGTCTCCATTTACTTCCTGTTGCTGGTTTGTTGTCTATGTTGTTCTTGCCCCACATTGGTTGAGTTGTTTTTCAAAATCTGGGAACTTTGTGATGTATTTGGAGTCTCTTAGTTGTTCAGTTGCATGCATTTCACAAAATTTCCAATATCCATTATTCAGAGTTGAAATTATATGGAAACCCTCTTCTTCCTGTCATTTAGGCTTTAGGCGTGAAGTTGTAATTAGAAGAGTTGGTCTAAGCAATTTCAGGCACTTAGTATTTTGGGAGTTCGGAGCTATTCAATTGCATGCGTTTTTAACGTATTTCAGCCCCATGATCCATCCTTGGTCTTGAAAGCACATAGGAAGTGAACTAGATACACTACATCTCTGTAGCAATCATGGAGAAGTATCACGAACATAGTCTTCCCTGTTCGGTGTGGAATTCCCTTAAAGATCAGATGTGTTGTCTACAGAATGATGTAGATGCTTAGGTTTTATCATTTATGCTTAAACTGGAGACTCTTAGACCAATGTGTGTCTGGCACAGGATAGCTCAACCATCCATCTAACTTCTGAGTTCTTCTTTCCAGGGAAAGCTGGATGACGGTAGGGAGATTGCAGTGAAGAGGTTGTCCCATAGCTCTAGGCAAGGGAAAAACGAGTTCACTACGGAAGCAAAATTGTTGGCTCGGGTACAACATCGTAATGTTGTGAGCTTGTTAGGCTATTGTGTGCATGATATGGAGAAGCTACTAGTTTATGAGTACGTTGTAAATGAAAGCCTCGACAAGCTTCTTTTCAGTAAGTACCTTCATCTCTCTAGTTCAATGTTCTTCCATGTTGATTCACCGTCTTCTGAGATTGGGTCTCATAACATTTTCGTGGTCCAATCGAGTACCATAAACTAAGGAGAAGTGGAAAGAGACACTTTTTAGTCGCATGCAACTAGGAATTGATTTCTCCACAAGGTCCAAAATCTGTTTTCTTGGTAGGGTTTCATTTTAGTTGGATGATTTATCTTGTCGGCTATGGTACAGCTGGGTTTAACCCTTCCTCGTGCCTCTAGGATGAAACTTTCCCATTAAGCCCAAAAAGAAAATTCTGTGTTTTATAAAGAATCTTTTGTTTCTGTTTGCATCGGAAATACGGAGAGTCAAAATGATTTGAAAAAAGTCATGTTGATATGTCATTGATGTAGAATCCAATAGTAAAGCACATCTTGATTGGAGGCAAAGGTTTGACATAATCATGGGAATCGCACGGGGCTTGCAGTACCTCCATGAGGACTCGCACAATGTCATCATCCATAGAGACATCAAAGCTAGTAACATTTTGCTCGACGACAGATGGGTACCTAAGATTGCCGACTTTGGGATGGCCCGCCTCTTCCCTGAAGATCAAACACACATCAACACCCGTGTAGTTGGTACCAAGTATGTTTCTTAATAACCTACAGTAGAGAAGATATAGGTCCTATAATAATAGACATAGATAGTAATGATGTGCTTATGGTTTGTTGACAGTGGTTATATGGCTCCTGAGTATGTCATCCATGGATGTCTATCAGTGAAGGCTGATGTATACAGCTTTGGTGTTTTGGTCCTAGAGCTGATCAGCGGGCAGAAGAATTCAGCATTTATCAATGCTGATTATATCAATCTACTGGATTGGGTGAACTTTTGATCTTGTTGTAGTTCATGACATGACCACATTTCAATAATAGCATGTCCTCTAACTGATCTGCTGTTTGGTTCTGTGCCCAGGCATACAAGCTCTATAAAGAAGGAAAGACCATGGAGATTATGGACCCAACTTTAGCTACATCAGCAGCAGCTGAACTGGTAAAGACTTGCATACACATAGGACTACTCTGCACTCAAGGGGAACCCAACTCGAGGCCCACAATGAGACAGATAGTTCTTTGGCTATGCAAGAAACCTGGCCACTTGGAAGAACCAACTAGGCCAGTAGTCCCTGGTTCACGGTACAGAAGATCTCGCCGGCCAAGGACAGGAACATCTTCAACTGCTGGAACATCTTCTGGTCATTTTGATTCTCGTGGATCAGATTCGAGCACAAGCAGTAGTAATACGAATACAGTGACTGCCTCAGCGTCCGTATCAGCTTCAGCTCAGTCTAGCACAAGAGTAGATCCTTATGGGAAACGACCTGTGTCGAGTTAATTATAGGAAGGCTTTAAACCAGATAGCTGACAGGTGCAAATTAGGAATTAGGGGTAAATGCTATGGCCTAAGGAGGAGGTGAATTAAATTTCGTGTAAATTCGTGAGTTGTTTCTTCCTAATGTTTATTTGCTTCGTTGAGTGTATATAGCAGAGTTTTGATTTGATTCTTTGATAGGTTTGTGCAGAAAGAAATGAAGTAACTCCGTAAAAGCGTCGAGCTTAATAAAATGATATTACTGTAATTCTTAGGATATCACAAAATTGTCATTTATACATCCACCTTTTCGAATTGACAATCGTTTCTTAACTAAAGTTTTTTTTTTTTGGTTTAATGACTGAAGACACCCCTGCACTATGGTAAACAAACACACTCCTCTACTATTATGCTTAACAAACACACCCCTCAATTATTTTGGAGTAAACATACTCACCCTTCTGTTAATAATTCCGTCTTCTAGCCATTAGATGTGGGCCGCACCATCCCAGTTAGCAAGCTTTTGCTTTGAAGGTACTATTTTACCCTTCTCAAGCCAAGAGGCAAACCCCGTTGACGATACACTTATCTTCCCTTAATAAGTTCAAGACAAAATCAACCAATTTAATATTCTTTTTCCCCCTTCCCAAATCTCATTTAACCTAAAACCCAAAAGGCTAACAATTTTACTTGACAAAGGACACCGAAGGATTTAACTCAGAAGGGAGGAGGCGTACCAATCTTCTGCAGGAACTAATAAATTGACATAACACACAACAAAATACAGAAGAGAGTCATATACAGCTGTTCCAAAAAATTAAATGAAGATACAAAACTATACATTATTCCTATAAATCTTCCTCCTCAGATCCTGTCAAACTTCATGCCTCTACTATGAAGCTCTAAATATCTCCAGGAAACATATAATTTCGGAACTGAATCAAATTGTTCAAAGAGATCCATGGAATACCAATCACAATCCTTAAACCAACTATATATAAGCAAACCTATGCTTGATTCTCTGCATCTTCAAGTTTGGCAGAGACGGAAACCCGATTAGATTCACATTAGGTAACCAAAGCACAAAGGAATCAATCTTCATCAATATAACATCCTTTGGCTGGTCAAGCAAGCATCCCAAAACGATTTACCGATACCTGACGCCTGTCGGGCTTTCACAATACAATTCAATACATCCGGAAACGACCCACTTTGCCGAGGTGAACCTGGAAAGAGACCCACTCTGTCGACTTCTCCTCAGACATCAGTCTAAATAAACAGAGCGACAACGTGAGAGAAGGAACAATCTCTCAAATCTCATATGCATCAATTCAATCTCGTCGTGTGAATTCCCTGCCCCAAATTTGAAACAAATTTACGTCGTAGCTACGACCACAACCATTCGCCGCCGTAAGCTGCCGTTGTATAAAAGGATTCTTGGATAAAAGGATTTGTGGAAGCCACCACCCATCTTTGATTTGGGGAAGTTGGTGGAATACGTATTGCCCTTCCTTGAACCCTAGTTGGGACTTGGGAAGAAAGAAAATTGAAGAAGGAAAAGTAAGAGTTCCATAAAAGAAGTTTGCTTCTGGTGAAAACGAGAAGGGAGTAAATGAAATGAAATTGGGTTTTGTATATTAAGGAAGGGGTAAAATAGGGAATTTTTTCAATAATAGCATCTTTAAAAAAAAATTACAAAACTAGCACCCAGCCGAAAATATTTACAAAAATAGCACATTTTAAATCAAACCGCACCTCCAAGGTGTGTTTTATAAATAAACCGCAACAGGACGATGCGTTTTAAATATAAACCGCACCTTAGAGGTGCGGTCCAATCCACGTCAGCAAACGCACCGCATCATCCGAGTGCGGTTTGTGTTTTCTGGGCAGCGGGGTTGGAGACCGTCGGATGGGGCTGCGATCCAAGGGCGGACCGCACGCCACCTCAGCAATCCGCGTAGTGGAGCCTCAGACCGCACTTGCAGGATGCGGTCAGCGCCTCGGGAAAGCACACCGCATCGTAAGGGAGCGGTTTCGCTAGGGGTAAAATTACCAGACCGCCACTGAAGGGTGCGGTCTGAGAACTATAAATAACCCCCCTTCCCCTCTCATTTCTTCACACCACTACCTAGGGATGTTCAAACATATTGGTTACCATGGTAACCATATTAACCCGGAGTATTCGGTTAATTTGGATAATTGGTTTGGTTTGGTTAAACAATTTATCTTATTTGGTTTAGGTGGTTTGGTTTGGTTTGGTTTAGACACTGCTAACCTTTTTTTTTTGAAAGTGGACACTGCTAACCAATGAAACCAATTAACCAATTAATGATACACCTAATATACAAAATTATTTATACTTTCATACAACCAACCAAACCAAACTTTCGTGATTCCCTATTTTATTTCCTTGTGCACAACAAACCAAAGCATTATGGATAAAAAATTAAATGGGTCTGCCTATTTACTAAACCAAAACATTTTGGACAGCTACTAGACTTTAGGATTACGTACAATAACATGACAGCCACCTCAAACTATGTATAGTTTAAGTGTTTTGTAGGAGAGCTTTAACTTCCTGATGAGTGGTATTGGTATGTATTTAATACTTATGTTAAAGGTTTGTTGTAAGCTAACTATATTAGGTGCAAAGATGATGAATGATGTATTAACTCGAATGATGATGATAATCATGGTTAGTCTTATTATTATTGCTTATATATAATGATATTTTATGATAGTAATCACATATGGTTATGTTTTATTTATTAACAAGATAATTTTCATGTAATGTTATGTTATTTGGTTAATCCGATTAACCAAACCAATTAAACTTTGGTTTGGTTAATTTGGTTTTTGTGTTAATTTGGACGGTTTGGTTAAGATATTTTATTACATGATTAATGAAATTTAGGCTTAATTGGTTTGGTTATTACCACGGTAACCATTTGAACACCCCTACGGCACAACTCATTCTTCCTTCTCTCTCTAGAATTTATCTCTCTAAGCCCTCCCCTCCCAAAAGCCTAGAAAACAGTGGTATGTTGGTTGCGGCTAAGTCCGATCTGCCATCAGAAAACATTTCTTTGGTTTTTTACTCAAAACCCGCCGAGCCGAGCCTCTGTCTGAATTTTGGTTTTTTCCTCAAAACCCGCCGAGTCGAATCTCTGTCCGAATTTCTCGAAAAAATGAGCGAGTGGTGGCAAGGAGATGGAGTTTATGTTGATGAATGCCCAAAAAAGTCGTCTGAAATGGCGTTCGTTACCTGGCTCTGGGGGTTGTATCTCTTCATCTTGGTATCGAGAGGAGAAAACAGTACCAGGGTTAGATGCCTCCAATGCCAAAATTAGCCTGGGAAGGAATGCATATGATTCTTCCCAATCACCAAAGACGGCGGCCAGAGCTTTCTGCTTTCCATGCCACGCCTTCTTATAGTTAATCATATAACCATAACGACTTGCAATGTCAGCGATTATGACTGTCACCTTCAGGTCCGGATCTTGCTCAATTAGATGCTTGATAGCCGCAGCAACCACCCTGGATTTCAACTGTCGATGGCCTTGGGAAGTTATGGATGACACACATGTGTGTGTTCACCGCAATGGCCCGAATCCTAACATTGCACCCCTCGTGATGATTACGACATCTGACTAAGAGCCTTTTAGTGTTAGAATGAGTTGTGTGCCATTCAAAATGCCGAGTCATTGCTTCAGTCTCAATGTCGTGCCACACCTCTTTCTTCGAGCCAAATTGTTGGCCCTTCATAAACCCAGTGAGTGGACCCCATACTGGGACCTCTGGCGGCTCCATGTCGCTGTCGACCATCCAATTGTCGTCTAGAATGTGATTGTAGTAGGGGACTGGTACACGGTCACGAGCCACCTCATCATCATTATCTGAGTCTGACTCTGGTCCTGCATCATCAGCACCTTCAAGGGGGTCGGAGCTGTCTGCACTAATGTTGTTCTCTCCTTCTTCATCGGAGGGGTCACTAACTGGTGCTGGCAGGGCAGCTTCCATCTGATCCAGCTCATGAAAGGCACCTTCATAAGCTCCATAATGGTAGTTGTGAAAACTACCGCTGCCTGATTGGAAGTTGTACTGAGGTTGGTTGGGGAGGTCCGGTTGAACTTCTTCTTCATCTGACGGGAAAGATTGATGATGACCTTCACCTTGCTCTTGGTACTGAAAAATAGGAATGAGGATCATGGTAACTTTGGTAGGGATGATCGCCATATAATTCACCTCCACCATGGATACAAGATGTTTGACCGTGTCCAGAATGACCTCCAACGCCAACGGCCGCCTCGGTGTAAATGAACATCTCGTCTTTGGAAAGATTGTTGGACCTCAAGAATTCGAGCATGGAATCTACTTCATCCTGAGTGGTTATGAGATATTCCTCATGCCACAATGACCCACTTTCTCTGTTTGGATATCGGTACACCATACGATCAACTCTTCTCGTGCCATCCATGCAAGTAACGTTAGTGCACATTTGATGGAGGTCTTCAAGCAGCGGTCTGGTAGCGACCTTTATTTTCTGAAAATTGCCATCGACGTAGGTGACCCCCTTTCCAGTCTCTTCCGTGTAACCATTCCACCGTAAGCCAAGCGTGAACTTTTGGAACGCCATCTGCAAAAACAAACCGTAGTTCAGTTAATATCATAAAAATCACAAATCACAAATAACAATAAAAAGTAATACAAAATAAACTTACGAGTTAACGTTAATCGCAAAAACACTAAAGAAATATAGAGCTAGAACAGAAAATTGAAAAGGGAGAGGAGAGGTGTGAAGAGAAGAGGTTTTCCTTGCAGTCTTTTATAGGCAAAATCACTGATGAAAACCGCACCTTAGAGATGTGGTTTTCGTCTGCCATGCAGCCCCACGTCTGTTATTCTGCATGGCTATATGTCGGGTGTCGGAAAATAATTAACACACAAACCGCACTGGTGTGGGGGGGGGGGGGGTGCGGTTTGTGTGGCAAAACCGCACCTTGGAGATGCGGTTTTCTTTTGAAGAAGCAAACCGCATCTCCAAGGTGCGGTTTTGCTGGGTCGGGCCAAAACCGCACCTCGGCCGTGCGGTTTATGTAGGTCAGACCTGAAACCGCATGGCCAAGTGGTTTTGGCCCAGGATAATAAACCGCACTTTAGAGGTGCGGTTTACATATAAAACGCACCTTGGAGGTGCGGTCCATAAAAAAGGGTGCTATTTTTGTAAATATATTTGGGTGGGTGCTATTTTTGTATTTTTTTTTAAAAGGTGCTATTTCTGGAAAAATCCCGTAAAAATAGTACATTCAATGCAAAATTTTACTGACTGGGATGGTGGGGCCCACATCTAACGGTTAGAAGACGGAATTATTGACAAAAGGGTGAGTGTGTTAATCTAACATGAAAATTGCTAGGGTGGTTTGCATACTATATTACTATATTTGCATTAGTCATTTGCCATCAAATGATTTGTTTGTCAATGAAAAACAAAATGAATCATGTGCAAATGACTCATTTTTCCGTCATTACTTTCAAATTTTAATTCTCCTTTTTTTCCATATATCCTATATTATCCCTTCTCTATTTTGTCTTCATGAACTCAATAATTTTCATTCATTTCCAATAATACGTTTCAATTATTTTTAGTAAAATAGTCGTTACTATTCAAACTTTGCTTGTAAAATTATATACTTTGGAACCATTACAATTTGTGAAGAAAGTTAACATGAAATTATCGTTAAATAATAAAAATTAATATTATTTTATTTGGATAGCACCAAAATGATATGTTACATCTTGATTGCAAAATGAATTTTATTTTCGTGGTTGGCTTTATTAGAATAAAAAAAAAGAAAATGAAGCATATTACATTAAGGGGTTGTTTGCATTTTGATCAAATGTAGACAAACAAGAAATGTAGATATTTGAGAATTTAGACATTTGAAAATGTACTATTTGTTTAAAAGTTTTTAGATGAATCGTTCTTAACGAGTCATTTGTATAATATTACCATTTTGCCCTTACATTTAATATGTTTCATTGTTTTGTTTCCTATCTTAATAAAACCAACCACGTAAAAAAATTATTTTGGAACCAACAAAACATATTCTTACGAGCCATGTGAAATATTACTTTCTAATTTTAAACAATAATTTATGTTAAATTTCTTTATAAAAGATAGCGACTCCAAAAGTCTCAAATTTAGGCTAATTACAAAAAGTTAGGCAAATGCCCTGCACATAGTGATGTTTGTGAATGGAAAAGATGCATCTTTGAGTAGATGACTTGCGAGAGAGAGGCGTCGAACTAGGTTGGTAAGTGTCGGTTGCTAACGATGGAGAAGAGAGGTTGATGGAGACGACGAGAAGGATGACCCTCTTCGGTTCTTTTGAAATTTGATGAAGATAAAAATAATAATTTCGAGAGGAGACAAAGCAATGATAGGGAAAATAAATCATAAAAAGGGAATAATAGAGGTGGATTAATGAAGAAGTGTAAGGACATGAAAGTTTGGACTCAATAATGAGTCATTTGGAAATGACCCGTTAAAATTATTTTAGAATTTCATATGAACGAAATGACTCATGCACCTTTTTTTTAGTAAACGAGTCATTTGGTACCAAATGACTCAAGCAAACAACCCCTAGTAAAATAGTTATCTGAGGCGTCGATGAAGGTGGTAGTTCAAGATGACCTTCTATAAATTAATTTAGAAGAGAAATCTACTTGGAGTGCAGCCTAGAAGAACAACTCACAATTAAATTGTCGAGCTTTGCATACCCTTCAATCATCTATATCAACTAATGAAGCTAGCAAAGTAGAAGAGAGCTAAATTGGGAAAGAAATTATGAGTATTTGATAACTCGATATTTGCACATAATCTACCCCCTTCATTCTTAGACTGTTTGAGGGTTGATTCTCACTTTTGAAGCCGATTTCATGCTAGGTTGTGCTTTTATGTCGTACGTCTGGACCTGGATAAAAAATGAAGGCTTGGGAGCGAGTTTCGGGTCAAAACGTAGAGAGGACTAAATATGGGAGTTGGAGGATCAAGATTTCTGGTCAGGCCATCCAACCCCCAATCGGGGAGCATCATCTAGGATCGAGGCTGACGTCTAGGAGACCCCCCAGGCAGAGCATCTGAAAATCCCCGATCAGGGAATAGAGGTCGATCGGGGAATTGACCTCGGGTAACTTAAGCATGCGTAACATTTTGAAGATCCCCGGTCAGTGCATCTATTTCCCTACTGGGGAATGTGCCCGGTAAAGGCCGAGCTTCACTGTTACATGCCGCACTCGGGATTTTGGATTGGGGTCGCTTTTTCCAAATCCAAAATAGTTAGAGAGAGCTCTGGAGAGAGAAAGTGACGAAGAACATCCTTTGGCGAAGATTGGAGTAGTCTAAGGTCACCAGAGCTCGATTTTTCACCCTTGGAATGCTGATTCATCATCTAGAGAACATATTTTTCATTCACACGATGATTTCTACATCGAAAATTTTGTTTTCCATTCTCTCCATGGAGTAAACTCTCTTTTCATTTCGATATGAAGAACCCTAGTCTTGTATGTTAGGAATGATGGTATGAACCCATTTTCATGGATGATCGATTATGTTATATCCAATTGAGGAATTATTCATAATTGCATGAGGCCTGATCAAATTCTTGTGATTCCGACTTTAACCTAAAATGATAGTCTCTACATAGGTTAAAAGATCAACCTGAATTGGAGGTAGTGAATTGATTTCTTTAGTCGAGAAGTCGATTCACTGCTCTGTACTGGAATTGAAATCCAGTAGAGGAAGTTTTGTGTGTTAGTTCCTCGGTTAGCTTACTGTAGTGGAGGTTAGTTACCCGCCGAGTATCCTAACTGAGAGGGTCTGGAGTTCTTTAGTTGAGACTGCAAACTTGTCAAGAACTTTCCGCAATATAAATATCAATCGAAATGAACTTGGGGAATTACAACCTGACTTAACTGCAGACTAGGGGGACACATACCTGGGTGACCTTTCTCTTATTTTGGAATCAAATCTTTACTTGTTTACTTCCGTTTTTTGCATACATACAACTTCACACCTCTTCAACCGCTAGATAATAGAACTTCACTAGGTAACTAGTACACCTAGGACTTGGATTGACGTTTAAAATCTTAACCACTATACTATGTTCCTAGATTGCGATTACACTCAATCGTAATTTAGTTGTGTCGGTATTAGTCTCAAATAGATTTGGAAAATGATTGTATTTTTTTGGCAAAATACACTTGCATAGCCAAAACTTTCACCTTTGTGCCACTTATAGCCACTCTTGGCGAAATACCACTAATAGCCACTTTTGAAAGATGTTGCGTGCCAAATATAGCCATTTCCGTTAGAAACTATGACGGTGTTAATAACTCCGTCAATTTATTTGACGGTCGGCTGACGAGGCGCCAAATCATCAGCCACGTCAGCGACAACTAAGCATATAGTGACACGTCAGATTTTTTAATTATTTAATATTTAATTACTACATTAAATTATATAAAAAAACAAAAAGAAAGAAAAGAAAAAGAGATGAAAATCTCTTACTTCCCCGATCCCTTTGAACTTTCTGAACGCCAAAACCCAGAATCAAGAAGACGTTGGCTCTTCGTCGGAGGATTTGAAGAGCAATCGTCCAGAACTCTCCACCTCCGCTGCTACTCTCCAAGACCCGTTTTCTTCTCCACCAGCAACCCCCCACCACTCCTCCGGATCTTGAACCTCTTGCCAGCTTCTTCGATTCCGATGCCATCACCTCTCCGGGTAAACCTATCGTCGGCCGCCATTGAATTCGGCGCCGCGCCGGTTCATCTCCTCATGTCCAACATCTTCACCACTTCTCCGATGGAAATGGATTGTTGCCCTTCTCTTCTAATTCTTCCCAACTTCATCTCCTCTTCTTCAAAAATTCCCAAATCACGAACTCAATCGAACAAAAAATCCCTAATTAAAAAATCCTCCCTATCCTGTGGAGAAATCCAGATCTGAGGCAGGAGGATTCAATGGTCGCTGCCGGCTGAGGAGGAACGTGGATTTCTGCTGCCACCACAGCAATTGCAGTGGCATCTCGGTAGAGAACAAAAATGAACACGGAAATGGGGCAGAGAGCTCGAAGAAGACGGACAGCAGCTCCGACTCCCACTCGATTGAGCAGCCCAACGGCAGCGCCACTCCGGCTGCTGCTGAGTCCTCTAGCCGCCGCCGCGACGATCAATTCGAGCTGCAAATGCTGGAGGAATCGTGCCGGGGGCTCGATTTCTCGGACCACAAGGAGGACGATTTCTTCGCCGACATTCTCAACGACGACATTGTCCGCCTCGACGATCAGCTGTCGGCAGGCCTCGCTGCCCCGAACATTTCGGTCTCTGCGGCGGCTGCGGCAATACAGGGGCTGGCGCCGCAACAGTAGGGGAAGCTGGGAGAAGAATCGAAAGACAGGGGAAGGGAAAGGGAAAGGGGAGAGGCAGAGGCAGAGGAAGCGGAGAAGGAGAGGCAGAAGAGGGAGAAGAGTAGGAGGAGGAGGAAGTAGAGTAGGGAATGGGAAATATGTACGGACGCCATGGATTTACAGGGGAAAGCTTTGGAGAAGAGCTGCAATGGAGGAAAGAGATTTTAGGGATTTTTGTTGTTGTATGGTGTTGGGGGTTTCCTGTTAAATTAATTAATTTTTAGTTAATTCCACCTCACCTGACAATTTGTAGCCAGGTCAACATCTACGTTAGTCCAGTCAGCCATTTGATTAACACCGTCAAAGAATTGGACGGAAGTGGCTATTAGTGGTATTTCGCCAAAAATGGCTATAAGTGGCACAAAGGTGAAAGTTTTGGCTATACAAGTGTATTTTGCCTATTTTTTTATGTATTAGATTTGATATTACCCTATAGAGACTTTCATCTTTCCATTAAAGTCTAAGTTTGTTTGATTTTATCTCAAAGTTGTCTTGTACTCATGTGATATATGAACTTTGTTGCTATTGTTATAATGAAGATACTTAAAAAGTATAGTATAATTATTGTACAATAGTGTCATATTCATGTCCGTAAATCTATATCATCTTGTTTTTATTAGCTTTTTATTCTAGAAGTGTTAAAAGAGTGTGTTGTTTCTTTTTGTTTGAGCCTATAACTTGCATAGGAATTTGGTTTCCCACGTGTGATAAGATGTTGCATAACTACAAAACAATTTTGTATTGTACGTTTCCTATTGTCCATTATTTTCTTAACGTAAGTATAAGGTAATTGTGTCATCTGGTCGACCGTTCCCAGAAGCAGAGCATTCGCTGGAAGAGCTACACAAACCATTTTCCGAAATAGGTAGACTGTTTGGCGGAAGCGGTCTACCACCTTCAAAAGCGGTCTATCGCCTCCAACAAGCGGATGTAAGTTGAAGGTAATTGTGTCATCAGGTCGATCCATTGCGGTAGCAATATAACGGTTGTCTCAATCGGTAGACCACTTGGTGGAAGTGATAGACATTTTTTTAAAATGGTCGACCGGTTAAAGGAAGAGTACGATCGTTTTATCTAAGTTACGCTAACTTACAAATCACCATAGACATACCCTAAGTTTTAGTATTATTTCATCCCATGTATCATATTATACAAGTGCAAACATTACAATTCTAAGTCATCAATCTTAAGAAATTATAAAAAAAAGAGTTTATTGGGATGTTATATCTTTATTGTAAGTGCATAATATATTTGAGAGAGAATTATATTTGCGTGTGTGGAGACTGGAAAAGCATCATTTTCGGGGAACCACCACCAACATATTCGAATACCATCGGATATTTGATTTAGTTCGAGCCGTTAACATGTTGATGGTGGTTCCCCGAAAACGACGCTTCTCCACACACACGTCCCAAAATTCTCCCCCGTTCCATCGTTGACAGATACCCTCCCATTTCAACCGAGAAAAAGAAACGAACAAACAAATTAAACAAACAAACAAAAGAAGGAAGGAAGAAGAAAAGAAACGGAAATCATTTCCCCCACACACAAAGTCGGAAGGAAACAACCAGACAAAATAACAGAGAAAGAAGAAGAAGAAGAAGACGACATTTCTTTTCAGACTCCCCCTTCTTCTGTGATCAATCAATTTCCGGCGATTCCCTTGGTGCTCACGCACGTGACCCTATCAATCATATGTAGAAAACCAACAAACAAAAGAAGAAGGGGAAGAGAGTTAGTTTGTTGGGGCTCTGTTTTTCGTGATCTGTTTGGTGCAGGCAGGCAGGCAGGTTAGGGGTAAATAAAACCCAAAGAATAGTAGCAGGGGGGAAAGAAAAGGCCGGCAGGGTGGATACCAAAATAAGGAAAGTGAAGAAGGCGTTTAGGAAAGTAAGAGGGCTGAGCCAAATGGATGAAATGCTTGGATTGCTCCGCGTCCGCATCCGAAAGGGAAGGCACCTCGCCGTCCGCGATGTTGGCCGTAAAAGCAGCGACCCTTACGTCGTTCTCACCTTAGCTCAGCAGGCCAGTGCTTCCTTCTTCTTCTACCCACATCCTCTGCCTGCCTTCTCTGTGTTTTGTGAACGAATTTTTGGGGTCTTTTGTTGATGCAGAAGTTGAAAACTAAGGTGGTGAAGAATAACTGTAACCCGGATTGGAACGAAGAGCTCACCCTTTCCATCAGGGACACTAATTTCCCCATCTTACTTGTAAGTTGAAAAGCTCACAATATATAGGGGCATAGAACTGTGGAATTCAAACCCTTTTGATTTGATGGCATGCATTGCAGACGGTGTTTGACAAGGATACCCTGACGGCTGACGACAAAATGGGAGAGGTGAACATAGACCTCAAACCCTTTGTGGCCGCCCACAGGATGGGACTGAAAAACCTCCCAAACGGCTGCTCCATCAAGAGGGTCCAGCCCACCAGAGAGAACTGCCTCGCCGATGAGAGCCCCATCACCTGGAACGAAGGCAAGATCCTCCAGGACATGGTTCTCAAGCTCCAGCACGTCGAATCTGGCGAAGTTCATGTCCAGCTCGAGTGGATTGATGTTCCTGGTTGCAAGGGACTCACCCATGGCCATGCCCCCGAGTCCAGCACCACCATATAACCCCCCCCCCCCCCCCCCCCCCCCCCCCCCCCCCCCCACAAGTTATGCCGGTGGAACTACTGCTACTGTTGTTCTTTTCGTTGTCGTCGTCATAATATACAGATTATTGTTATATGTTCTTCTTCCCATTAGCATCCCTCTGGTTTTGTTGTTGTTGTTGTTGTAAAGGGCAGGCGTTACTTTTGCTGTCAAAACTCTGGTATTGGTTTCATATTGTGCTTTGTCATTTGTATATTCTGGTTTTTCTGTTACGACAGGTGCCACAACTCAAATGTATATTAATCTCTTCTTGTTGTTTGGTAGCATGCTGTTGCGTAGATGCGCGTAGGGTGCCTACTTGCCTTTCATTTACTTGGATAGATGGGCACTTGGTAGTTATTCGATGAACGTTTTTATTGCAGAAAAGGGTCCTTAAGGTATTGAATAGTACTAGTTGGGGAGATCTGAGTGCTCTCTTGACTTTTGGCTTTGAGCGTTAAGAGTACCCATCATTTCATTTCATTCACTTGGCAAGCTACAGTAAGCACACACCAAAACGCGTAACTTAAAACTTCATCTTTATTAACTCTTCTGTTGGCCAAACTGCATGCATATTTTCCCTCAGTTATAAAAACAGCACCCTATGTTCTCAAAGAGCTATGTGAAACCAAGACAGCGACAGCCGACAGCACACCAAACCTGTGTCCTCTAAACATAAGGGGAGAAAAGAAAGAAAACTTTCTACCTGCTCTCGTTCAGTTCAGTATTAGAAGTGGTGGGGAGCAAAAGTACAGAACTCAAAACGGGAAAGCTACTTTTGGATATGCTTTGCATCAGTTTGGTGATGTTGGCATCCATCCCCATATTTTAAGGGCCGGTATCCTTGTGCTCAGTAGTTAGAAGACAACTGAGAGTTAATGAGCACGGAGAGCTTCTTCAAGTCCCAATCCTCCATGTTTGGGGATATGACAGCAACTCCAACAGCCATTGCCACCATGATAAAGGCCATACCTTTCAAGCAGCCATGTCCTCTCGATATTTTACCTTGTATCCCCTTGCAGTACTTGTCTGCTTCTTTGTAGAGTACATCGTTGTGCCCTTTGACCATTGCTTTCTCATTCTACAATGAGACGGGAGTACAAAACTTGTAAGCACTTTCAGGAAGATTAATGCAAAAGCACGAAAATTCAATGTGGCGAACTTTCAGCGAGTGTTGTATAATGAATCACTACCTTTTGCCTAAAATCTCTGATAGCATCCCTCAGAGGATCGGAAGGAGCCAATTTCTCCGAGAACTCCTTCCATCCCTCGGAAAGCCTTCTAAGAACAGCAACACTTGCCTTTAGATCGTCCCCATACACCTTAACCTGTTTATCCAGACACATGTACAGATTTCATCAAACAGATAAAACAAACCTTGACCGGTGAAGACCAACCCTCGGAATATAACAACTCACCCACTGCTTGTAGCACTCGCTATTCTGGGTGAAACACCAGATTGAAATGCCAGCAGCTTCCTTGGACAACTCTGGATTGCCTGTAAGAAGGATTTCAGTCCACCAGTTTTTCATACTAAGAAGCTAAGAAGTTGTCATATAATTCAAGAATCAGCTACAAAATAAATATAGAGGTGAGATATCTAAGAACACTTACTTTCCCCAGCTGCTTTCAGAGAGAAGCTCAATATCTGCTGTGCCACCTGCCTCATAGCCTTACTTCCAAAAGAACCAGCAAGTGCCACCTCTTTGAGGGTAGGATATATTGCTTCAAACCTCTCCGTAGCCTGGATGTCAAAGTGACAGGTGAAAAACAAGAGCAACATCTTAAAACCACACTAATAACTCTAATGTAGTAGCCTTAATGTCACAAAATCACATGAGCGGCTCATGATGAGCCATAGTCAACACTAGTTGTTTTATTAAATATATACAGGAATATCATAAATGTAACCCTCTTAATCCTTAACAAGCTGAAGGTGCACAAACTTGACAAAGAGGACAAAACTCATATGTCATTAGAATCGGAAACTGGCAACAGGATTTCGCAAGCACCCACCTTTACCCTAGCTGAAGATGTAGGAAAGGTAATTCTAAGCAACATCTCTAATGCAGAAGGTGGAACCAGTCGTTCCCCTCTCCTAACAGCACCGTTTACTAAAATTGTCCTAGCTTTTGGAGCAGCTAAAATCCTGCATACATAATTTTTGTCAACATAATTGAATAATTCAAAGCAAAGAGCAGGAAGTAAATAGCACAGGTTAACATACTTCTCCACTAGTTGCAAGATCAAATCCCTAGACTGCGGATTATTATTTTTCCCACTCACGATGGGCAAGAGGTTATGTGCCCATGAGAACAACCCGACTGACAAATCTGCTTGAGAGGCCTATATAGAATAAAAATAGAAGGATAAGACAGTAAGCAAGCTACCAAGAAAAGAGTTAGCACATTAAAATCATGACCCTACTTACTTGAGTGACCATCCATACAATAACTGGAAGCTTGTCTTGGCCTTGATACTTTGAAGTTTCCTTCAACGTCGGCAATATGCTAATCAAGGCGTCAGGTTTGCGACGCAAGACCATTGCCAGAACCACAAAGATGGCAACCTGGACAAATTATGAAAGGACCCCCTATGTTCAGAAACATTCCCCATCTAATCACAAAGCACAGTGAAGGTGATGTGAATTCCTTCCATTTGAATAGACTTGACTACATTTAGACCTATATGATGGAAATAGAACCTAATAGTTCTACCATACCATACCCCTGTGCTGGTTATCACCAATGCAGTCCTTAAATCAACCAAGGCCATATACTGGCCAAAATAAAAAACCTAAGAAACTATAAACTAACAAATAAAAAAGAGAATCATCAAACAGAAGAACTGAAAACCTGCATAAATTGAGTTTGTACTTTCTCACAGTCTCATTTATAGACATAAGAACAAAGACGGACCATCTAAACATGCTGGTTATTATAAGAAGCTCTTCTTTCAAAGCGAGATTGCAGATACAACCTAAGACACTCGAGTTTATACATATGTATGGATAAGGCCATGAGTATCTGATAGAACTCAATCTGGCTCTCAAAGGATATGAAACTTTCACTTCAGAGCAAAGAGATTCTGACATAATATAGCAAGCACAAGCTGATATTATGAAGGACCTCAACCATTCAGCCACAGCAATGAAACTGTAAGGTTAATTTAAGTATTTCACAAATAAGCCAAGCAAAGTAATGCCATCTGTTAAACAAACATCAGCAAGGAAGAAGCAAGCTCAAACTCTCTCAACGTACCTGGGACTTTGATGATGTTTGCTGCCCTCCCTTCTTGGATCCTTTGGGACCACCCTGCTGGCTCGCTAAATCTGCAAGGATACTGTCCAGACACCATAGCACAAAGGACCCAAGTGCCTCCACTGGACGTTGAGAGATCCAGTCAACAGATGTTTTAAATACGGGTTCTGAAATGTAAGACAAGGGAACCTGCAGAAGAGAGCCTATGTTAGTTACCTTCTGATATTTGAGAAAGCAAAGCTGAAAGAAGATCAACAAACCATCGCCTACAAGAGCATCAACTACAGCATCAAAGCTTATCATTCAAGCAATCTAGAAACACAAACAATGGCAAGAATGCTTCCTTTTACACAGCCCCTTGTGGTATTGTTGTCGGAGAGAATGCGAGAACAATGAGTCAACAGAACCAAATGTCATAATGTAGATCCCAGTGAAAAGAAACAAAGATTCCCGGCCATAACAAAACCCTAAACAGGATATATTACGCAAGTGACAGATATGACGAGCTCAATTAAGAAGCATAATCTATAAGCTCATGATTTAATGCCTGTAAAACGTGCAACACAGCATGTTAACCTTCACAATTAAACAGGATAAGTACAGCAAGGTGAGGACCACAGCTGAAAGCTTTGAACTTTATCCGAACAGAATATCCCAGTGTCCCAAGAACCATTCATTTTAATAGAAAATTGCAAGTCAGAATCAAGTAAGAGGAATCTGTGACCCACATCGGCAATTTTGGTCAGAGGGTTCTCCCTGAACAGCTTCACCCATGGGAACTGGGCCGAACTCACAACCGAGAATGCTCTCCCAAAGTAATCAGCAAATCTCATGAGCTGTATCTCCTGCTGCCCCTCGTAGGAAGCCTTCATTCAAAATGCAATCGACCACCAAAACAAGGATCTCACATTAGAATAAAACCGAAATTCATCAGATCAAGCAAAATTCTATTAGGAGAAGATGAGAGATAAACACATTAGGCATACTGACAGATATATCCACGAGAAACGCAGCGAGATCCGACTCGTCCATCTTAGCAGCAGCTTCGGACACGGTGATCTTGGGCTTCTTAGGCTTCTTCTGCTTCACCTTCTTCTCCTCGCCGCCCTTGCCATTCTCTTTGGAAACCCTAGCATCGTCGCTGTCGTCATCATCGTCGCTGTCATCGTCAGATCGATCCCTTGATCTGCCGGCCCTGGTGGTGGTGGCGGCTGCATTGGGAGCTGCCTCGGCTTCCAAAATCCTCCTACGCCGCTCCTCCGATTGCTGCTCTAAGGACTTAAAAACGTTACCTTTGTCGTTACCTACCAGAGCACCGTTGATTTTGCCGGCGGGATCGGCGGCGGCCGAAGGCTTCTGCTTCCGCTGCTTCTTGGCGTAAGTTACCTTCTGCCAACCGTGATCGGGATTGGCCGTCGCGTGGGCGGCTTCGAGGGCGGCGATCTGCTGTTCTTCGCTGGGATACGACTCGTAAGACTCCATTTCTGCCTTTTTTTTTTTTTTTTTTTTTTGTTGTTGTTGATGTTGTTGGGTGCAAAAAGGTTTCGGGTTTCAGTGTTCGATTTTCAGACGGAAAGACGAAAGAGACTAAAATGATATGAACAGTTGAAGGTTAAATAGCGGAGTCCCGAAACGAAGTAAAGATAATATTTTTATTTATTTATTTTTCTAAAAGGATTTGGGGTTGTCGGGTTGATATGCCGTTTCTCGCCTCGAACCCAGCACATAATTACGGGGTTGCCTACTAGTTGCGTGTTGATCAACCTGCGGGCTCATTTGGACCCGGTCGATTTAGTGGGTCATAGGTTAATGGGTAACCCGTTTTAATCCAGTTTAGCCCGTAAATATGGAGAAAGTCATTTTATTGTGTTTATCTTAATAAATTATATCAAATCGCATCTAACATATGAGGAATAACATATACTACTACACAAAAACAACATTTTGTATTTAGATATAACATATAGTGAAAATTCAAACACACTTATAAAACATCAATATTCAAATATTCAACTTAGGATTCCAAAGATTGAGTTAGGCGAAAAGAAAAATTGGAAAATAGG